GGCATCCTCAGGGAGATGTCCAGGTTGAAGCCCAGCTCCTCCCTGCACTAGTTATGCCTCCTGCTGCAACCACCTCCCCTCCCAAATGCTTCTGTGTCCCTGCCACTCGCTTTTCTCCTGCTTGGATGCCCCATGGCACTGCTCTGGAGGCTTTGCTGTTGTTTCTTGCTTCTCTCCTCTCTCCTTAGTGCTTTGCAGCAGAGCACTGAGGGCCAGTTGTGCAGTCCAGCCCCTCCAGGGCCCTGGGAGCAGAGCAGGGCTGGGCCAGCTGGAGAAGGGAGGTTTTATGGAGTTGTGCCCTTCTGTCCTGCCTAACCCAGGCTGGGGGAGTGCTGGATGCTGCACCCACAGCAGGTCAGCCTTAGGTAGGACACCAAAGCCAGCTGGGATCAACGCTTCCTGGAGAGGCCCAAGGGCAGGTTGGACTCCTAGAAAATAAACCTGAGGTCCCTTCAACACTCCACCTCTCCAGGGATCACCCCTGGGATTGAACACCCTGTAGCAGGCCCAGAACTCCACCTCTCTTGGTGCTCCTGCATCAGCAGGTAGGGCTGGGAAGGAGTTCCCACTGTGAGGGTGATCCCAGTTCGGATCAGGGCTGAGCCAAGGCTCTCCTGGCTGGCTTTTCCTTGTTTGAACCCAAAGCTTGGGAGCTGCCCTTGCCTGACTTCCCAAGGCTCCTCTGCTGCAGCTCCGTGGTGTTTTAGCTCCCTGTTTGCTGGCCTGGGTGAGGGCAGGCTCAAACCCAAACGTATTTATATTATATTTATGGCTGATAATTAGCCTGAAGTGTCACAGCCTGAGCCAGCCTAGACTTGGAGGCTATTCCTGACTTCTTTTTAAGGGATATTGTAATATCCCACCGGCATTCCAGGTAAGCCTTGCCATGACCTCACACACCTCACGTGGCAAATAAGATTATTGGAAGGAGGGAACTCTGTGCATCCCAAGGGCAGTGCCAGTTCTTTGGGAGCACCACGGAGCGACCACGTGGCTTTGCTGGATTTTTATTTCCCTGCTAATTTCCTTGCTGTCTTAGAAGCCCAATACTGCATATTCCCAGCTTTCCCCACTGTGGTGGGAGGCAGGAGGCAATCCCAGGGATGCATCCAATGCCCAGGAAGCCTGGACACTTCCCGGTGAGTCAGCACTGACCCCACATGCTGTAGAAGGTTCTGGAGGATGGGGAGGGGGGGTAAGAGGGGTGGGCAAGGCAGGGAATGTTGGGAATTATTTGCATCGTGTGGATGCAGGTGTGTGAGGGCTTTTAATTGTCTGGTCTTGTGCCACACAGTGACATAAATGTGTAATTTTGCAATAAAACTTTTTTTCAATGAATCTCTGGCAGTTTAAAATAAACTTGGGGAGGTTCCTTGCCATACCTGGACAAAAATTACCCTCAGTGCACAGCAACACTTCCCATGACAGGACAATCCTGAAGAAGGAACACTTTTAGCAGGTCAGCTTTGCACTGCACTGGGAATTTTTTTTCTCCTGAAAGTATCCAATATCTTTGGATCCAACATCCACCCTGGAACAGCAATATTGAAAAGAAATTAAAAGCTTCCCTGAGCTCATCTGACCCCCCAGCTCACCTTCCAAGCAGCTTTAAATCCTCAGGGGTTTCTGCCCTAGGGAAAACATCACCTTGACTATTATGGGATAATTTCCAGCAGATTGGGGTGTTTAAGAATTTAGAGACAACATGCAAAGCTGTGTCACTCTTTATTGCTTCAGCTCTCCCAGCTTTCACACGTTTCCTGCTCCTCCAAAGTGACAAAGCTCATCTGCCACCTTGAATATTTCCAGATTTTTTTCCAAATTCAAGTTTAAGAAAATAAATCATTAATGCTGGTATTACTTACTACTAAATATTTCAAGCTTTCCACTGAGAGGTGTGCAAAAAAAAACCTGAGATGAGACTCACTCACACCCTGAGAAGGCACATCTTGTTTCTGCCACACAGCCCAGTTCCTGACACCAGCAGAATTCCAGTTCCTAATTTCCTGTAAAGAAACCTCCTGAAAATGGAAATCTGGCTGTGAAAGCAACAAAGTTTCTGGTACAATTTTTGTTAATGCAACAACCAGGCTCTGAATTCCTCAAAATCTAAACAGCACCTTGATCATGCACATGCATCACCTCTTGTGATGGGTCCCTTCCCATTCCTGCCCCAGACTTCCACCAGATATTCCCATCCCAAATTACCTGACCCTAAAAGGAGCTGCATCTGTTCCTGTAAGGAATAGAGAAGATCCTATAATGGGGAAGTCACATCTTTTCAGTGACAGGGGCCATGGATACACAGAGGTGATAAAAGCATTAATTGTAGAATATAATAATAGTTCAACTGAAGCCAGAAAGGTACAAACTACTGTAATTCCCTCGGATATTCCTGAAAAAGCTCCCCCTTCTGGAAACCTTGGATAAGGCACTGGAATGGAAGGGAAGAGTTGTCTGTACTCCAGTTCATGGAATGCTTGTGACTCATGACCCTCTAAACACCAATTGCTGCTCCAGCTCTGCCTAAAAATCAGCATTTTATCCCCACTTTGGATCAGGAGCTGGTGAAGTTCATCCCATAAGGAACAAGCTGGAAGAAATGCAACAGAATTCCTTCCACACCAAAAGTGGGAGCAAGGTTTTCCTGGAGTGTATCTTGCACAAAAAGAAAAAGCACCTTCACAAACACTGTCTTTTGTGATTTTATTAAGAGATGTTTTCAGGACAGCCAAGCTTCTGGTTCCACATGGGACAAACCCTACAACAAAGAACAAAACAGAGTGAGCTGGTGCCAAACTTCTCCATAACTATTGTCCTACCTCAAACATGGAACAAACAAACAGGCTCCAAGTTTCCAAATTACATGGAATTTCTCCCTTCCTGCACTTTGGCCAGTGATCCCACTTTTCCCACTGAGGCAGATCTTGCCAGTCAGATTCCTTAAACAGGATTTCAAACTGGGATTATTTCCTTACATGTAGAACCAGCCTACACATTGTGCTTGATGGTTTCCAAGACTATCCCAAACTGGATCCCAGGGAAAGGGGGCTATTTGGGGGTTTTAACACATCCAAACCCTTCTCAAAAATGTATGTCCCAAGTCACTCCAACTGAGACCCAAGATTCCCAAATCCATGCTGTACAACACGGAACAGGGCACTTGGACAGGGATATTCCCTTTCAGATTCATCATCTCCTCTCCCCTGAAGCTGCTCTGCCACATGCCTTAAACCACATCCCCTTCATCCAGGGCACTGCTCAAACCCAACCCAGCCTGTCTTCCCAGAATCCCAGCTGCCTGACAGGTGGCAGGGCACCTTTCCCACCTGGATTCTCCCTCCCCCAGCCTGCAGGCACTTACCCTCAGGCAGTGGGCACAGGCTGAGGCATGGCTGGCTGCTCTGGTTTGCCCCCTTTCTGCTCTGAGATGGGGGTGGTGGGCAGGATCTCCTCTTTGGGTTCCACGATGCTGACGTGGTCTGGCAGAGGCTTTTTGGGGCCAATCTTTCCACTTGGGTCCCAAGGCAACATAATCTTTACTTTGATTCCCAGTACTCCTGCAGAGAGGGACAGGACAACACATTGACACGGAGGAGCACCAAGGTCACAAAGTATCTCCTGCCAACACTGTAACACAAACATGCTATAGCTTAAAAATCTTATTATTGGGAATTTACATCAGGAGTACCTATGAGGAATTTAAACACAGGCAAGATCCAAAGTTTCCTTTCGGCTTGGAACTGTAGCTGTACCCCCAGCTCATCCTCACCCTGGTTCTAAACTCAGCTCGTTTTCCCAGGCAATTCCACTGAGTTTTTTCCATCCCTTCTCAGACAAATGCCTCTGAATCATCCAATGAGCAGGACACCCTGGCCAAGGCAGCCTCAGCACAGCCCCACAGAACGTGGCACTGACAGGGCTGCAGTGACACAGGGTCATCCCTTCTGACTCGTCATCGGATCATCACCGAAGGGAGGGTGGGGAACAGCCCTGGCTGAGCTCTATCCCCATGCCAGGAATTCTGCAATTAAATACCCCAGAGCCAGTTAAGATGCACAAGTCATTTGTGTTTTACCAGGGGGAAGAGCAAGAGGAGGCAGGTTTAGCTGGGAAGACTTGCCAGGGCACAGCTGTGGGGGAAAACTGGCTGGCATTTGCCCTTTTTGTTGCATCCACTTTTTCTCTGCCCATCCCAAGGAGCCAGGAAAGCCAGGATGCAAACTGCCAACAGATCTTAATCCCTTATAGGTGTCTCATTTATAGTTTCTATAAGTCTTATAGGTGTTTCATTTATAAGTTGATTTCTTACCTACCTCAGAGGCCCCAGGGCTCAAGCGAGAGTACCTGGAAAATCTACAGCCTCGTTCTCAGCTGGAAACATTCAAACCCCACCACCAGAGAAGTGGATGCTCTGGGATGACCACCCGAAATTCCACTGGCTGCTGAAGGCCCCTCCACTGCCCATTCCCAAAAGCAGTTTGGGAAGGAAGCCAGTGAAGCTGGCAGTGGCACTCACCCTGCCGCAGGAGGACGTGACGCACGGCCGTGTCCACGTAGTAGTTCACGGGGTCTCCACTGTGGATCATCAGGCCATCCACAAACTTCATGGACTTGGCCCTCTGCCCTCGGAGCTTCCCAGACACCACCACCTCACAGCCCTTGGCCCCGCTCTCCATGATGAAGCGCAGGACTCCGTAGCAGGCTCTGCAGGGACAGGGAACAGCCACCCCCCGTGAGCCCACTGCCCACATCCACAGGGATCTGGGACCACAATTCCAAGCACTGCCCATCCCGCTTCAACTTCAGCTTGCAAAAAGCCTTCTGAAGGCACAGCTCTGCAGCCAAAGCTCTGTCAAGTGCTGGGCAAAGCAGCAAAAATCTCCACACCGTTTTAGTACTGTGAAGCCCAGCTTAAGTAAACTGTTGTGACTTGTAAGGCTGCGGGGACAGTGACACAGAAACGGCTCCATAGCTGAGGGTGGACAATCCACCCTGTCCCTTCTCAGACAAATGCCTCCAGATCATCCACTGGTGACAGGAGGCTCCTGCTTGAAGGGCCTCATGCAGCATCACAGAACGTGACCCCACAGAGGTACCTCAGGCAGAGCCACCTGCATCTGACTCGTCATCGGCTCATCACCGAAGGGAGCTGAGAGCAGGGCCACTGTCACCTGAACCCCCGCCTCGCTCCTCCACAAAGGGATAAATGCAAGCTTTAAGGCAGGCAGACAACCTGCAATCTCACCTACTCCCAAGCCTGCAACTTTTATGCCAGAAAGAGGTAATTGCTAGAAGTAAGCGTGTAAGCTGCTGCACTCACCGTCGCACGGCCAGACCTCCCAGGAGCTTGTAGCGCAGGGACTCGGCCTGGGCGATGGCACACAGGCCTCTGGTGGCCACCTTCTCTGCATAGAGCTGTGGGGACACAGAGCTCAGGGCAGGCTGCCTTGGAGGCACCACATCACACAACCACACCATGGCTTGGCAGCTTAAAGACTCTTTCACTCCACCCCCTGCCACGGGCAGAGACACCTTCCACTAGCCCAGGTCGCTCCAAGCCCCGTCCAGCCTGGCCTGGGACACTTCTACATTAACACAGGAGTTACATTCTGCTCCCTGCCCCATCCTCCACCCCAGGGCAGTCAGTCCTGCCACATTTCCAGGCACAGGTTTCACCCTGGGACACTCCACTCCCAGAATCCCTGGCTGTCTGTCTCTTATCCTGGCAGGGCTGAGACACTCCATGGGAAGCCATTCCAACATCCATGGTGCAGTGTTAAAGAGCTGCTGCTCCAAACAGCCCCAGAACAGAAGGGATCACTGGGTTTCCTCTGTTTAACACATCACCCAGGGAAGTCTGCTTAAGGATTAAAACCAAACCCCTTTGATTCTGGAAAGCTGGGAGAGAGAGATGTATCAAATCCGAGATCTCAAAGAGAATGAGGTCTGACAGTCCAGAAGCAGCGGACATTCCAACTCGTTATTCCCAATGTGATGTGTGGGGAATAACAAATTGGAGACAATCAGCAACCTCCCCTGTATAATGTGATCCAGCAACACTGGCCAAGCAGGAATACGTGTGAGCACCACCCCAGAACACACATTCCCCCTCCCTCCCTCCCTAATTTGTTTTAGAGCAGCAGATTTTATGGAATGAAATCACAGCACAGTTTGGGTTGCATAGGACCTTTAAAGGACTAGTCCAACCCCTCTAAAAATAGCAGGGAATCATCTCAAACATTAAGAGAAATTACCTTCTACTTTTCAAAGATCCTTCTGCACTGTTTCTTTGTAAGGACAGAAGCATTATAATTTGATAAGGGTAACAGCAATAAAGAAATACACTGCGGATTTAGCCTTCTCACCTCAATACTGGGACAACGCTCTCTACAAAATATTTACAGGTGCATTTACAAAGTTTTATCTGCATCCTCCTTGTTGGGAAAGCAGAGAAAAGGAGTTGAAGGGACAGCATTAAAAACACCACAAGGAGCAAAAAAGCATTTTGTACTTCAGTGATGGAGTGTTTTGTGGGGCCAGGTACCACACACAGTTTTCTGAGTTAAACACCATCCAACTGCAGTTAAATAAATCCAACTGCAGCACCCCCTTCCTGCTGCTCCAACCCAGACAGTTTTACCTCAACGCTTCCCTCGGGGAATCCAAACCTCTTCTGCACCACCGCCGTCAGCTCCCGGATCCGGCGCCCCTTCTCCCCCAGGACGTTCTGAGTCCTGGGAAAAAACAACGGCACAACTGAGAGAAGTGTCCCCAGGTGAGCCTGGAACCAGCCCCAAAGAATTCCAGAGCGTCTCAGTTCAGTGAGCGATCTACACTGCTGGGTCAATAAACATCACTTTGGGATCTTTTTCCTGCAGCAACATTTCCTACTTCAAGTTTCAGCCCCTGTGAGGCAGTAGCAGCAGCTCAGTTACCTGGTGGCAAGGATGATAATCTCAGTCCTGGTGGGAGTGACCCGGACTTCCACGCCGGAGTATCCATCCTCAGCCAGTTCCCGCGTCAGGAACTCGTTGAGCTCGGCTTTGAAGATCCCGTCAGCGACAAACTGAGACACACAAACGGACAAAGTGAAGCTCTTTGCACCCCCAGGACCATCCTGCTGCCTGGCAGTCTCTCCCCCCACGGAGAGAACTTCTTCCTGAAGTTCCCAGGGATAATGCACTCCTAGTAGGTGGCTGGTATAGGTGGAATGAGATGATCTTTAAGGTCCCTCCCAAACCAAACCATCCTGGGATTCCTGGAGAACAGCACAGGATCCTCTGACTGGCAGGGTGGGTATAACCCCGGGGTGAACTATCAATGGTCTGTTATATTCCATTCGCTGCTGATTTACACCGTGGCCGTTTACACCAGGTTTAGAGCCCATTTAGCCCTGGCTCAGCACCCACTGGAGCCTGGCAGGGCGGGAGCACCAACCCCCTCCACAGCCACCCTCCACCTGGGACCGCAGCTCGCTGCTGCCCCGTGTCAGTGCTTTAATTCGTCCATAAATTAAGGAATTAGAGGGGCCACATCCCTTCCCCAGCCCCACAGGGACACTCCTGACAGCCCAAAGCTCGCTCCCTCCCTCCCCAGGACAGGCCCTCCCGGCCCACAGAACCACCAACCCCAAACTCTCCCCACTGAAAAGGGGAAAACGAGCAGGTCCGTGGTGTCCCGGCCCCATCCCGGGCCGTGTGGAAGCGCCCCCTCACACCCCGCCGCCATGTTCCCGCCGGGGCCGCCGCGGCGCATCCGCCGCCATCCCCGCGCATCCGCCGCCATCCTGCCGAACCCGCCGCCGTGCCCCCGCCCCGCCGGCCCCGCGGACCTCCCCCGGCGCTGCGGCAGCGCCCGCGGAGGGTCGGGGCGGGCGCGGCGGCCGCGCTCACCTTGCGCTTCTTGGAGATCTGCACCGCCATCTTGAGCCGGGCCCGGCCGAAAGGGGGGACCGGTCCCGCCCCCCGGGCTATATCCGCCCTCCGCCGCACACCATTGGCCGGCCGCGGTCACGTGGGGAGGAGCGGGGGGCGATGGGAACTGTAGTCTTTGCCGCGCCGCCATGTTGGGGAGGTGCGCCCGCCCTGCCAGGTTCGGCTGGGCGCGCTAAACCGGGGTTAAACGGGGGTCTAAACCCGGTGTAAACGGACACGAGAGTCAGCAATGAATATAATAAATATGATATAACATCACATATCACATAACATCATGTATTATCATCCCGGGTTTACACCCACTCTGCCCGATCGTTGCTGTTCAGAGGATGCTGTGCTGTTACCCACGAATCACAGGATGCTTTGGGTTGGGAGGGACCTTAAAATCATCCAGTCCCACTCTCTGCCATGGGCAGGGACACCTTCCACTACCCCAGGTTGCTCCAACCTGGCCTTGGACACTTCCAGGGATCCAGGGGCAGCCACAGTTTCTCTGGGCAACCCGTGTCAGGGCCTCCCCGCCCATACAGCCAATAATTTCTACCCAATATCCCATCTAAACCCATCTTCTTTTAGTTTAAAGCCATTCCCCCTTGTCCTGTCCCAACAGATTTTTTTTTATTGGTTTAGAGGGTTTGGGGGATTTACATAAGTAATAATAATGATTGGAGTTGATACATGGTAGGAAGTAGGGATTTAAACTGCATTTTATCACGGATGTTACAGTTCACAGTTGGACTTGATCTTAACAGTCTTTTCCAACATGAATGATTCCATGAAAATGCCCACAACGCCAGTGGGTAAATGTGTTTGGGAAGAGGCAGCAAAGGAAGCCCTGCCCTTGCAAAGCTCCCAGGAGGGAGCCAGAAATATTAGGGGATAAGCCAGGGAATAAGGGCCAAAATATGTTGAAACGAGCTGCTTGGCTTTCTGGAAGGCTCATCTTGGAAAGATGTGTACCCAGGCAAACAGAATCCCAGAATCACTGAGGCTGGAAAAGCCCTCCCAGCCCATGGATCCCCCCTGTGCCCAATGCCCACCTTGTCCCCCAGCCCAGGGCACTGAGTGCCACGGCCAGACCTTCCCTGGGGACTCCACCACCTCCCTGGGCAGCCCCTTCCAGTGTTTAGCAACACTTTCCATGAAGAAATTCCTCCTCGTGTCCAACCTGAGCCTCCCCTGGCACAGCTGGGGGCTATAACCACGCAGGGAATACCAGTATGACCAGTATGACCAGTACAACAACACCACCCCCAGCACGGCCCGTGGGGAGCAGCGGGGGCATCAGCCAGAGGATCCTGCTCTTCTCTTTTCCAGGGAAAAGCTTGGTTTGCCACTAGATGTCAGTGGAGACGGCTTCCAGAGCGGGAAAAGCTTCGTGTTTCTCCTCTCTCTCTCTCTCTCTCTCTCTCCTCCCTCCTCCCCAGGGATTCATTTGTCCAGGATTTCAGGGATGGCAGAGCAGCCCACGGCCCACTTTGCAAAGACGGGGGGACCTGTGTCCCCTCACCAAACACCTTCCTCTCACTTCCAGTGTGTCCAAACATCCTGCCCGTCCCTCAACCAGCTCCCTCTGCTCTCCCTGTCCTGTCCAAGCATGGCTGTCCCACACAGAACCTCTCCCACCCTCTCCAGGGAGAAGGGACACCACAGGACCCCCATCCCTCGTCCCTGCTCCAGCTGCTGTCCTCTGCTCCCACTCTCTTCCCTCTCTCCTGGGCTGCCAGAACACACTGACACCCTCCTTCCATCTCCCTGCTCCCCAAGGCACTATCCATGGAGTCCATGTCTCAACAGACACTTCCTCTTGGCCAAAATTAGGAACTACAGCTCCATCCACCTCTTCCCAGCCTTCAGGGACTAAGGCTGTGGCCAAGCTGGAGCCAGGTGGACCATGGGTGGATTTGAGGGGCAGTGATGGCCCAGGACTCAGCCTGGGCATTCCATGAGCTCCTGGAACTCTCCTCCACCTGCCCCCCTGGACACAGTGACACAAAGCCAGCTCGTGTCCCGGTGGCAGAGGAGGAGCTGGTCCCTTCCTAGTGCTGTAGGAACCACCATCAACACTTGATCCAGGCCCGTGTCTGCCACAGATTGGCCTGGGTGTGACACCCTGATCTCTGTCCCCTCCCTGCTCCCAGATCCGACCCCTCAGAGGGACACACGGAGCTTCACCCTCTGGAAGGGCTGTTGGGCTGCAGGAGCTGTGGC